AAACCCTAGACGCCGCTAATAACCACTCACGGTTCCGCGCGCCCACAAATGCAAAAAAATATAGAAATAAATCTGAAAATATAAAAATAAACGAAATTACCATCAAAATATAGATCCAACGAGAGGAATCCAACGGTGGGTGACCCGTCAAATTTCGACGGGAGGAACACAAAATAAAGCTCCGGCAAGACCATCGTCCTCGAATGAAAAAAAAAATTGCAGAAACAGATCAACGCTCGAAACTGAATGAAATCACCATCAAAAGAAAGAGATCGACGAGAGGAATCCAACGGTATTTAAACCATCGAATTCCGACCACCGGAGAGAGAGTTATGGCTCCGGGAAGCAATTTCGCCGGTGGGAGGTTTGTGGAGGCGGGATTTTGAATCTGGAAGAAGAAGAGAGAGACCGTGAGTGACTAGGGTTTAAAACTGATTTTAGAAGGGTATTATAGGAACTTCAAGGTAGCCCAGGGGGGTATGTCAAAATACTTTCGAAATGATGGGGGTTTCCCCTAGAGTGTAATCCACTTGGTAATTAGTTCTATATAATTTGAAAATGAGGGGGTCTACAAAATAATTCCTATATATATATGCCGTGTGGGGCCGTTACGGGAACTTGCAATGACATTGGTCGGCAATTTAATATAAAATATTTGTTTCCGAATTTATTCATGCATCTGAAAATAGGGTACATTACGATCATTCCAAGAAACAATGTCAAATTACGAAAAAAACCCTCATGCTTTGATAATTATAACCGACTCTCAAACTATTAATCTTCTTAGACGTTCACCATTGCGTTGTCAAATTTACGAAATTTTTCTAGATTATATTTTCTAGTTTGTACCTGTTTTACCTCATTCGAGCTCCATATTTTGAAACAACATGATCATAAAATGTGTCTCTTGACTTGTAAATAACATATTATGGTACATCATAAACTAAACAAGAACGAACTAGAGAATATTCCACGAAATCTAGAAGATATTGTTGAGTTTGACCCCATAAGGTGGACGTTTATGAAGATTCATAGTTGATGGGGGTTGGTTGTAATTACCCAAACATAATGAATTTATTCGTAATTTAACCTTACCTCAGGGATAACCGTAATTTACCAGAAAAATTTAACATCAACTGTTCTCTAGGATAGCGGACACAACTTCTCATACATTGTTGAATGCAATTGGGCGTCTTACTTAGTCTATTAAATGCGACACCCGATAAAAAGTGTCGGTAATTTTGTGCTATAGATTCATACAAATAATCATCCACTAAAAGACTTGAATTTACTAAAAAAAAAAAAAAAAAAACATTTACGAGGAGAGTTTACTGTGTATTCTTGGTGTGCGTGTGTAGGCTTGTAAAATATTTTTGATCTTGATAATAAAACGTCATTATTGTTGTTTCCATGAATATAGGACCACACTGATTCGAACCACGTTATATCTGCGTGTTCATCGTTTGTGATTTACTGTTTATTGAACAAAATATATGAACTGCTTAAATCGAATTCACAGCAATTTATATCACATGATTTATAACTCATAATCAATGTTACATACTATGAAAAGGATATGCCAGGGCATAACCAAAGACCCAAATTAACAAAAAAAAAGGAAGATACAAACAAAAAATGTAGCAAAGCAGTCGAGTGAATAGTCTAGAACAGATACCTGCCTGCCGTCTGGGTCGGTTTTTATGGC